CCCTACCACTAGTCGAAAAACCTTACCTTTTTGGTGTAGTTCTGTGTAGATGTCTCCAAAAAAAGGGGGTGTTTATGGGACCCTGACAGTCCCCAAACGCCGAAACCGTAAACAGCGCTTAACCCTAAAAGCCTGACAACCCTTAGGAAACCCCTCACCCTAAAATAGGGGTTTAGGGTTTAGGGTTTAGTAAACCCCTTAGACAAATCTTAGAAATCGTACCCTTCACACCCTAAACCCTAAACCCTAAACCCCACACCCTAAACCCTAAACCCCCGAGAAACCGTAGACCCTACACACCAAACTGAAGCCGAAACCCCAAGCAACCCTTGGGCCTCAGCGCGCGAGAGAGCTGCCGGCGCCTTAGGCGACCGGAGAGCGCGACCTGGAGCAAAGATGCGTTGGGGACCTGGAGGAGGGCTTTAGGGGTTTTAGGGTTTAGGGTTTAGGGTTTAGGGTTTAGGGTTTAGGGGCTTTAGGGCTTTAGGGCTTTAGGGCTTTAGGGTGATGCAAAGATGCAGGAGTTGGGGACCTGGAGGAGGGCTTTAGGGTTTAGGGCTTAAGGGTTTAGGGCTTTAGGGATTTAGGGTTTCGGGGTTTTAGGGTTTGGGAGTTGGGGCCTGGAGAAAAGGAGTTGGGGGGGTTGAAGGTTTGAACCTACGCCCCAAACCCTAAACCCCAAACCTTAGTTTAAGGTTGAGGGTTCAGGAGTTGAGGATTTCGAAGATTTTGCTCAGCGGCTTTGAAAGAAGGTCATAAGGGTCTTCCCAGGATTTTGCAGGAATTTCTAAGGTTTAGAAGGTTTTGGTAGGATGTGATAGCGGTTTTTGAAGGCTTTGGGATGGAATGAATGCAAATACCCATCTACTTCAGGGTCTAAGGCCTGCTTCGGGCTTAGGGTTTAGGGTTTAGGGTTTAGGGTTTAGGGTTCCCCAATGCGGATTGCTCTAAGCACATAAAACTAGTACAGAAATCGATTACAACCTCGTACATCGAAGAAACGCAAACACAACCAACAAGAGCAGAACCACCGCCCGCCCCCCACGGCCACCCCTCGACCCCCCACCAAAGAATCCCAGAAGCTCCAACAGGAACCCTAAACCCTAAACCCTAAACCCTAAACCCAAAACCCTAAACCCCCAAACCCTAAATTCCCGGCCCGCTTGGGCCGTTCCCACCCATAACTGGGTGCTCAGACACTGAAAATTCCCGGCAGCCTTTACACCCGTTCTGGGCCAAACAATGGGTGGAGCCTATGGAGAATGGTCGAATACAGCCCTGTCTGGGCTGTCAAGCTCTCCGCCT